ATCAAAGCCATGCTCCAATTTTTCTAATACGTCCCTTAAAATAAACCCTTTTCAGAATATTTTTTATCCAGGCAATTCTACAATTTTTGGGTGGGGGTGCCATATGGAACTCTTTCCTAATTAATAATAAATTTGCAAACAAAATGTTTTATAGGCCTAATGAAGTGGCTTATTTTTGGGGGAATATACTATATATTTTGACAAAACATTGGTCTTGTCTTCTTCAGGTCAAGAATAAAAACAATAAACCACTTTGTTATGCTTATAAATCATTGTTTGCCAACTTGTTATTATATTAGCATAATATGCTTCCATACTCAAATATATATTTGATTACTTGGATAATTGGAATAATAATAAAAAAAAATAGTAACAGTCGGAAACACTAATTTTGATTGATTGATTGTCTCCATAACATTAATTGATTTAGTCATAATTTTGATTAAACAATGTAATTGGTATTTATAGGTAATTGATTATGCCAATTAATCTAGATAATTGCCCAGCTCCAGTGATGCAAATACATCTTGACAGGAATGACCTTCCATTTTTACTAGCTGCTTTAATTATTTACCTCATCCTACAGTTTTCTTGCAGAATTTCACCAAACTTTGTAGAAATGACTAAACATGTGCATGTCTGGAGAGAGTGATTTCTATAACTTGTTTCTACTCTTTTTCTTACCTTTTAACTTGGATATTTGCTAGTGGGTGAAGGATTATTTTGGTCATAAAAACTCCTTATTCTTTCAATCCTGCTTCACCAAAACTTGTAGGAATGATTTTTGATTATTAGTTATTTATCTAAGGTATTATAGGATATTTCAATCTTTTTACATCATTTTCCACTTCTTTTATACTATTTTGTCATTTTAGAAGTTACAGAAATTACACTTGATATTCTAGACCAGTGTAATGGATTTATCAGTAACATATGGCAGTTTTCAATGTATTGGTATTTGTAATTATATGTTTGTACATTTAAACCCCTTTCTGGGACAAAATGACTCAAGGATTACTAATGGGTCCATAAGAATCCAATGAACTTATTAAACATATTTTTTATAAACTATTTGTACATGAAACTGCTCATGGATCCATGACTGTTGGTTACGTGGTCTCTAATAACATATTTTTATAAACTATTTATATATCAAACTGCTCATGGATCCATGACTGTTGGTTACGTGGTCCCTAATAAGATGTTTTTGTAAACTATTTGTACACCAAACTGCTCATGGATCCATGACTGTTGGTTAGGAAGTCCCTAATAAGACATCTTTATAAACTATTTGTACATGGAACATTATGGTACTTTGTTTCCAAAATTGGTTATAAAGAGGTGTATGTAGTTATAATATCCACTTTAGTTAAAGTGATTTTAGTTATTTGTTGCTACTGCAGGCTGTTATGGATTAATTGGCTACCTGTAACAGCCACCTTGATGTATCCTAAATATCATTCTGACGTATTTCTGTGTATCAATGTACTGCTAACCAGTAATAAGTAGTCTCCCAGATTTATCCAAGTATTATTCTGATGTATTTCTGTGTATGAAGGTGCTAGCCTTCTGTGGGTCTTACATGCATACTTGTTTAACAAACAACAGTAGTTCGATGTGGAACTGATCAGAGGCAAGTTGAACTATCATTCTCCTACAAGGGTGTGGAAGTTTTTGAAAAAAAAACCTACTTTTTCAAAGGATGAATTCCTAAACGTATCTACTTATTTATCCTACTTAAACATGTATTTGCATCCCCCAGTTTACAGAATCTGTTTTATTTCTGATAAAACACTACAGCTATAGGACGTTTTTTTTTGTTTTTTTTTTAGTCAAACTGCTGCATGTCCATCAGTACATTGCCACAGGCAGCTTAATTTTGTCGGGAGTGGCACATAATGCATTTTGCACCTAGGCTCTTTATACATATTCACTCATGTATTTTATATTTTTTAATATTTAGTCATCAGCATTTTGCAGCACACAATGTAAAATATTCCATGCATGAATGGGTATGAAATCATGTTGTTTATATTAATACTGCCATGAACGAAAATGGCATTTTATATATGTATGGAACAGTTTTAAACATTTTTTGTTACTTTCATTATATAATAGAACCTTCCTTGAGCTGGCAATCAACTTTTGCTGAGCTCTGTAATAATATCATTGCATTAATTTAAATACATGTCACTGTATATGTAACTGAGAGTTTATAAATGAATAGGTATATATATTTGTGGTTTTTGGTTTAGTGGTATGCATCTTTAAATGTTCTTGTGTATGCTCTAGACTTCTGCAGTTCAGAATCGCCAAGAACTTGGGTTGTTCCCTAGGAACCTACTCAATGTTTTTCTAGCAATAAAGCAAGGAATGTGGAAAAAAAAATTGACCAGTGGTCAAAGTGTAATAGTGAAACTTGCAGAGGAAGGAATTTCACATGCTTGTTCTGAGATCATTACACTGTCATCATATAAACCTGTTTTAATTACTGTAATTATATTTTTTTGATATTTAAGAAAATTGTTACAGTTTATGCAAGTTATGTCATGCTTAAATAATCTACTTTGGATTAAAAATATGTTTAAAACATGCAAGAAAAAGTACAAAACTTTGCTCTCCTGTGACTCATTTTACAGCTATGGAATAATTTGGACTAATCTCCCCACTAGTTTAGTTGGGAGTCAATTTAAATATGAGTCATATGTTTAATACAATTACAGTTTTTAACACCAATCCATATTTATTGTGCCACATTTCTTAAAGTGAGGTGAGGACTTGTTAAAAGTGATTTTGAATGAATATTTAGTATGTTAACTGACGTGAGTTATTTATTCTACTTGCATCTAAATGATTTTTTATTTCTTAACTAAAAGCTATTCACTAAGGAAAGAATAAAAGGTAAAGTTTTTTTTTATCTCATACATGTGTAAGTAGGCAGAGATTGAATGAGTCATAACCTCCAGATTATATGATTGTTTAATATAAAAAATGAATGAACAGTGCCAAAAATGTATTTAGTGAACTTAAGGTTTGTAAAAGATAGAAATTAACGATTCAATATACTAGTGGGAACTACGGTTATTTGAAACTAAAATTGAAGTACATACTTGTTTGTTTGATTTTAATGTAAGTTTTATTAATATTTCAAAAATTGAAAGTGTTTTCTGCTGTTTGTTCCTTGCTCACTAGATGGCGGGTGCAATGACATGTTTACGAAACCATTATGTAAGTTCTGCGCATAATATTCGTGCGTCAAATTTAGTCTGTTCTAACTACTAACATTCATACAGTGTAACTGGATGGAACACAGTTTTCGTACATAGTAGTTAGAGACGGATTTCGTCTAAAACAGAGAAAAACATTTGTAATTGAGCATTCAGTAGACGAAACAAGAGAATCGTACTGCAATTTGGAACATAATCTTCGTAGTCGACATTACAAAGTATAAGAAAATATAAAAATACATGATACGAGATACAGTTGATCGTGTGTTTGTGAGAACAAGTGATATAAAGCTAGCGGTGGTTATAATTTAGTAATATAAATGTTGCATTATACCTAAGATATAATAATAATAATAAGTACTGAAAATTCTAACCTCGGTTTCCGTCGCCCTGGATACTTCAAATCGCCTCGATGTTCAGGGAAAACTACCTAATAAAAAGATGAAAAAGCGTAAAGAACTGGACGCCTTGGTGCCAAACGGAAAGCTCTGTAAACGGGTAAAGAAAACGACCTCTTTCGGTTCGGCTTCTGCGCACGAACTTCTTGCGAATTTTTCGGATACATCAGATATTGAGGATTTTCCTGCTCTGCACTCGCAGAGAGTTGGTTGCCGAAAGTAAGTTTCTGTAACATTGGTTTATAACTAAAGCAGTACATATGATATAAAAATTAACCACATGCACTGAATTTATTATTATTATCTAGTACTTCTATTGTTTGGAAATTACTTATAAGAACAGGACCGCTTTTTTATTAATATTAGATGGCATTTTGAAGATATTACTTTTCTTTTCTTTCTTTTTTAAATAACATTCCAAAAATACTATTTTTTTTTAACGATTAGTTTTTTGTTTTTGTTCTGAGAAATTTTAACAATATTTGGTACAGAAAAATGTAAAAAATTCGAAGTAAAAGTGACATTACTGTGCTCTAGCTGTGTTACAGTAAGGGCTTTCACAGATAAATTTTTTTTAATAAGCTACGGGCTGATTCTTCTTGTGCCACAGAAATCCACTCGTCCTTTTGTTTATAAATTTTATAAAAAAAGTCTGAAACGATCGTTGGTTAAATCAGCAGAAATAGAAATTCATCCATTGACTAAAAGCATTTTTATTTTGAGCTGTGGTCTAACGTATCACAAGAGCAGCAGAGATGCATGCAACATTGGTAAAATATTTAATGTTGTTTTAATGTAAACAAGTGTGTTTTAATTTAATTACACCAAAATGGGGGGAACTGATGTGCTAAGTTGAGAGAATATCACGATATTTTTCCTCACCGAGAGGAGGGCGTATTGTAGTCATAATTACGGATAGAATATCTTGTTGAAAATGAACTTGCACATACTTAAAGTGGTAATTAGAGTGTGAAATCTGAATTAGAGTTATACATGCACATTTCCCCCAAATTAGTAAGGTCAAATTGTGAATAGTATAGAATATGCAGAACTTTCTCGAAAAGACGGGTATTTACCCTATTTTTCCAGCTATATATATATATATATATACATCTACATTCTGAGTGAGCTCATCCACGAAACACCCATCATTGTATTTCTAACGATTTAGTTGTTATCTCGCATGCCTTTAGTGTGGGTCAGTGATCTGAGACTGTAGTGCATAACATTTTACATAACAGCCAGTTTGAGAATCAGGAAGTTAATTTTTTTACCTATGTCATGTATTAATAAATAGGCGTACCAGTTTTCTGTTCGCGTTTTATTTCGAATTTAATGTGTGATCCCATTTTTTCTCAACCACCGGTTTGTAGACCCCCATTGTCCATACACTGTACTCCTCAGAATAATACTTGGATAAATCTGGGCGGCTACTTGTAACTAGTAAGTATACATTGATACACAGAAATACATCAGAATGATACTTAGGATATGTCGGGGAGGCTGTTACAGGTAACCAATTAACCCATAACAGCCTGTAGTAGCAACAAATAACTAAGATCACTTTAACTAAAGTGGATATTATAACTACACACACCTCTTTATAACCAATTTTTGAAACAAAGGACCATAATAGCTTTAACAAATAAGCCACCTTATTTGATATTATTAAAGTAGAACTACGATCCATAAGCCAATACTTAACGTCACAACCACCATGCTGGTCCGTGCGATTTCAGGAAAACAAACAAAAACTGGCAGAATATTCACATGTAACTTGTAATGGTTTTTCGTGTACTTGCATTTTAGTGGTCCTCGACAATTTAAAGTGGTAGCGAGCCTGTCCCTGGTATCGAAAAGGTAAAGAAACGCTGCTCGAGCTTATCCAAATAGCAGCAGAAATACATGCAACAGCAGAGAAGCTTAATGTATCTAATTATGTAAAAGTAAAACCAATAATTCCTGATAATGTACAGTAAAGAAAAAATCTAGGCCCCCTGCAATGTTCCCTCTTTTTTCAATTCTTGTGCGGAATTAATTGTTTTCATGTGCACCAATATCAGGGCAATGTGCGGATGTACGCTACCAGTTTTTGTTTTTGAGGGGAGGGGGGGTTATACCATCAACATTATAGAATCAATAGGCCATTGCAATGCTACCAGTTAGTTATTTGGGCGTTAGGCCTATCGACTGGCAGGGTCATTAAGGCCGTCAATGTGTTGAGACTCCTCACCACTACTGAGGATGTGCGCGGCTGGAAAAATGAAGTGCGCGGCATTTGATTGTTTGTTGTGAGGGGACGCTCGCCCCCAGTCTTTTCTTACTTTCCTATCAGCATGATTAAACACCATTCTTCCCTTCAGTAAACTGGACGAATTGGATCATTTCGGGGATGAAAAGAGCGTCTTTCTTCCGAGTTTAACATAACTGGTTAATGTGTGGTTCTTCTGCTTTATAACACTGGTAGATTTGATTTTAGCAACAGATTTTTTTAAAATTCCATAAACTATTTTACGTTAAATGAAAACTAAACGGATGTGTGTGAATGGTGAAAATAGCTGTGTGGTTTATTGTAGAAGATAGCGACATACCTTCACAGGTCAGATGTATAGTAATTTTACACTCCTTTTTACTGTGACTATTCTGAGTGTTATATATGTGCTTCTACATGAGTGTGTGTTAAATCTGTACAGGTGTTTGTTCAAGGTCGACTGAATGAACGGTATCAGAATCACACGAGTACAGGTGCGTCAGTGAGGTTGAAATACACAGTCTGAATGTACACGTCAATAAAATACACGGTCTGAATGTACACGTCAATACTTATGTTTTATCAAATCGTACTTTTGTTGTTGTTTTTCGACGTGTGCTATAGTATACAGAATATACATATTAGTTACAGAAATATAGCTGAAAGTTTACTGGTGAAAATGTTAAAATTCATTTGTTATGTGACACGTTAAACTGAATTTCCAGACAATATATTGACTAAAAGAATTTAATGTTTTATGCTCATAATAGATTCTTGTCAAATGCGCCACTATTATATATACTGGTAATCAATTTTAGTTATTTTCTTGTGAAAGACATGACCCAAAAATATTTATATTAATCTCAGACTAGTTTCTAAATTATTACAAAGAACGAAAGGTGCATTGTTGCCCAATTTAATGATATAACAAAACAAAAAAATATTAAACGCATGTTGCAAAATCTTCACCCCCTCAGCTTTTTCCATCGTTGATTTAATTTTACATCACTATCATGCTAAAGTAAATACAAATGGCTCTGTACAACTTTATTAGATACCAAGGTATATTATAGAACTATGTGAAGAAATACTTTTGGTCATATAGAGCCATCAGTATTGATTTAAGCAGAGTATTTTGAAAGTTAAAATTTGGTTTATTGTTACATATTGAGGATGATGAGAAAATAACTCTATACGGACCTAAGGGAGAGAATTGTTCAGAATCATAATTCCAGAGAAGGCTATAAATCAATTCCAAAGGTTTTCAATTTGCCGTCAAGTACTGTAAATCGGTTGTGAAGAAATGGAAAGTGTATCACACTACCTCAACCTTGCCAAGATCAGGTCGGCCTAAGAAAGTCTGCGCTCGAACAAGCAGAAAAATCTTCAGAGAAGCGACTGTCAAGTCAACAGTGACATTGAAGGAGCTGCACACTTCAGTAGCACCATCTGGAGTTACTGTACACACCTCGACAATATCATGTACCTTACACAAAAAAGGCTTGTATGGAAGGGTGGCAAGAAAGAATCCACATCTATAAATAAAGACGTGTCTTATATCGCGAATGGACTATGGCCGTAAATATTTCAATAACCCTTCAACAACGTGACAAAAAGTTACTATTGTCAGATGAGATCAAAATATAACTTTTTGGGTTAAATGACAAACGGTATGTGTGGCGGAAACCCAACACATTTCATGACCCAGCAAATACAGTCCCAACTGTCAAGTATGGTGGTGGGTCCATAATGCTGTGGGGATGTTTTTCTGCAGCTGGCACCGGAGAACTTGTACGCATTCAGAGGACCATGGACAGTGCAAAAAAAGATACATAGATGTCAGAGGTAAACCTGAAGAAGTCAGCTGGAAAAACTAAAACTCGGTCGAAGGTTTACAAATTACAACAGGACAATGATCTATATTCTATATTATTATTCTGCTTGTTTGTATGTACGACCGTTGCGCTTTCTGACCGAGAACCTGCTGCATGAGCATGCGTAGTTAGAATGTTTCCCCCAAGAAAAACCGTGCATGCGCATTATTCACCCGACGACAAACAGTCTGCATGCGGCAGAGAGCTGCAAATCTCAGTGATCAAGTCGCTACAAATTGATGTATGAAACAAGAAGTAACAACAAAAGGGGAGTGTAAATATACTTTAATAACCATTTTCTACAACAGAATATTAAAAACATTACAAAGTTTTTAAAAAAAGTTTGACGTTAGGTCGTAGAGTAACATTATAAGTTTATTTATCGATAGTATTAAGTACAGTAAAGTTTAGTCCTAACTCAACTAAAGTAAAAAAAAACGTGCATAGGTTACACTGTTAATTTCTTTTTATCGGGCTTAGGCCTAACATAAGTTATAGTTTTATAAAGTACGGCCTACATACAAGTGGATTTACACATTTCGTTGTCTACGATTACAATTCGTTTGTATTGTGCTAGAAATGTTATATTTAAAGCAGTACTGTTACGATAAAGATACTAATTTGGCCGGAATTTCAGGGATTTCGGTTCAAGTCCCCTGACTCTGAATTCAGGGTCAAAGGAAATTGGAGGTGTTCAGAAAATGATTTCTCCTCACCCCACTCCTGTATGAGAATTGAAAAAAGAAGGGGGGGGCTGTTTCAGCAAGCAAAAATGCGAAAATCACAGACGGTTTATAAGTATGTTTCTGTGTCAGATTAAATTGTGACTGGTGATTATGGTAAACCCACTGGGTGGGGATCTGTAGATCCAATGCCCTAAATATTGGTGTAGAAGGAAAACGGGAGTACCCCAATGAAAATGCACTTTCACTACCTGGACATTAGATTATCCGGATAGTACCTGAGCTGTCGGGGTTAGAAAGACTATTGATTAATACATATAATCATCTATTTATACAAGGTATTAATTAGATTCAAATGAGACCTCTGGGTGCGCCATGTTTCAGGAGTGGCCAAAAGGTTATTGCCTTACG